CAACAGAGCTGCTTCATGGAAGAACAACCTCAGATTAGCCTGTTAGCTTTAGCGTTACCCCCGACGCTATATTGCCTTATATATTAGCTCAGCGCTAGCACGACAAACTAACAAGCTAAACTGAGGTGCTCATATTTAGACGTCCTGTTTTGCAAATGCTGCCTTTTTGAAATTTGGTATGCTTGTTTGTCTTTGTGTCTATGGTGTAATAATAATGATGTGATTGTGATGCTGTAATTCTGAGTGTTTTATGTGCTGCAGAACAGGAACCAGGTGTAAAACAGCAATTATGCTGAGTCAAGCTTGATTTTTAATAATCTTTTCGTGTTAAATAAATGAATCAAATCAAATCAAACTTCTGATTTCAAAATAAAATCCACGTGTATTGTGTGTGTACACATATGCTTTATGCTACATGTTTCCATCTGCTTCCCAAACAAAATGATACATTCTGACAGCATTTGTGTAGAAATATATCCAGACCTTTATTAATATAGCTGCAATTTCAACATTATTCAGACAAATTATCCAGCCTAAAAGTGTCTTATTTTGAAATACGGATGCTGTGCTCATTTCTTTTCCTGTTTGTGCGACGTAATATTTAAAAATTGACTCCGGCGCAGCTCCGTCGTCCGGCAGAAATAGGGTCTGTTCTAATTTTGATGGTTGGCCTCGGCTCACCGCCGCCGTGCGCGGCCAGTGTAAACACTAATTGATTATAATGGGTGCGTATTTGCTGTGGAGGTCGGACCGGAGCGGAGCGGAGCCAGAATGCATGTAGTGTAAATTAGGGGTTATAGATTCATCCTGGGCCACCTGGAACAACAGGTGCAGGGCCAGGGAAACCCTCCATCCATGCCATGACAGGTAACCAGCCAGGTGTTGACAGGATCCAGCAAACATAGAGAAAAGGAGAYGTGAGGGACCGTTCCATACTCTGAATATGCTGTAGAAGAAGAACCCAGAGCAACCTTTAAACACCTGCTGACCCCTGTGTTTACACCCGGGAGGATGCACCCAGACTTGACTGACACTTGGCCTAAAACTGGAGGTCGATCATTGTTTGGTGATTGTACAGCAGCAGATAGTTGACAKTCAGAGGAATGCTCAACACAAGTAATGAAGACAAACTACACGTTAGCAGTGATTGATGACTAATCACACACACTGGTACTGTGGTTAGCTTGTAAGTTACACAGTTTAACTGTAGTGGTAACCTACACCACAGCTGGAAGGCCACAGTGTTCAACATCTGCAATATGGGCTTATGATTATACATCTTTATCTTTTAGTTTGGTGCAGAAAACAGAAACAAAGAGAGAYTGACYCGTAAATYACCCGTCTTAGCTGCTGGTGGCACCTCTGCCAGTGTGCCTCAGGGCAGCTGTGGCTACGATGTAGCTTACCACCATCAGTGTGTGAAGCACTTTGGACTCTGTGTGGACTTGTTTAGTTCAAGCCATTCATCATTTGACCCAATGTTGTGCATGTGAGTTAACAAAAAATCTGCCACTTAGAATCCTCAGTGGAAATACCTGCAGAAGCTCACAGCACAGAATGACTTTCTCATGATCCTGAGGCTAACATTTGTTTTACCTTCATTTTTTGGACTTGATTTTGCCTGAACTGCTGTGGAGGAGGWTTAGAGCAGGACTAAAATATATCACAAGTTTATCATCAGTGAAATACCTGAGAGACTGTCTGAAATAACTCATCATGGGTCAGTATATCACAAGTAGAATACATTCATGCAGTGCTGCTAAAYGTGATGAATTGAACAGACTGATCACACCTGGTTTAGAYGATRGTGATGAACGAAGGGAARGTGAAGAAATTGGGACTTACCGGGTAATTGTAATTGGTCAGAATTTTAAACAAAACTACTATTGCACATTACAAGTTTTTTCTATTACAGTGCACGATTTGTTGGCCTTTAATGATCCAGGATCCAGTTT